GGAGAAGGCGTCCACTACCACCAGGAAGTAGTGGCCCTTGAAGGGTCCCGCATAGTCCACGTGCAAGCGGGACCACGGCCTCTGTGGGAACGGCCAGGGGGTGATCTCCACGTGGCGCGAGGCTCGCTGGTTCTCCTGGCAGACTTGGCAGCCTTGCACCTGGTGCACGATGTCCTGGTCCAAGCCAGGCCACCAAACGTGCGACCGTGCCACCATTTTGGTCTTTTCAATGCCAGGATGCCCCGCGTGCAGCAGCTGCAGCACCTTGGCCCGCAGACTTTGTGGAATCACCACCCTGGAACCCCACAGGAGGCAGCCTTGCTCCAAGCTCAGCTCGGTGGTCTTGTGGCTGTATGCCTGGTGACGCAGCTCCTCCCCTCGGGCAACCGCCTTGACCACCTGGGACAGCACCGGGTCCCGGCTGGTCGCCTGCGCCACCGCAGTCCTGGTGAGCACCCCCGGGTAGGCCCGCTCCAGCAGGAACACGTCAGCTGGCTCTGGAACGGCAGCAGGCACCTCCGGCAGGGGCAGGCGGCTCAGGGCGTCGGCAGGTCCCAGGTCTTTCCCAGGGCGGTAGACCAGCTTGTACCTGTAGGCTGCCAGCGTCAAGGCCCAGCGTACCACACGAGGCGATGCTTGCACTGGGACTTCCTTGTCAGGTCCCAGCAGCCCCAGCAGCGGCTTGTGGTCCGTGACCGCCTCGAATTGCCGGCCCCACAGGTACTGGTGGAAGCGCTGGACCCCGAAGATGAGGGCCAAGCCTTCCTTGTCGAGCTGGCTGTAGCGTTGCTCCGCCGCATGAAGCCGACGAGAAGCAAACGCCACAGGGTGTTCCTGACCATCCTGACCCCGGTGCGACAGGACGGCTCCTACCCCGTACGGTGATGCATCCACGGTGAGGACTACAGGCTTGGCTGGGTCGAAGTGCACCAGCACTGGAGCCTCAACGACGAGCTCCTTGCTGCACTGGAAGGCCAAGTCCTGCTCCTTCTTCCAGGCCCACTGCTGACCGTCATGGAGCAGGCGATGCAGCGGCTCTAGATGCGTCAAAAGGTTGGGCAGGAACCTCCTGTAGAGGTTGATAAGGCCGAGGTAGCTCTGAAGCTCCTTCTTGCTCTTGGGCTTCGGCGCCTTGAGCACGGCCTCAATCTTGCGGGGAGCCGGGGCCAGGCCAGCCTGGGAGATGATGTGTCCAGGTACTCTACGCTGGGGGTCAGGAACACGCACTTGTCCAGCCTTACCTTGAGACCGGCGTCCTGTAGTCGTGTCAGGACTTTGCGCAGGTTCTGCAGGTGGTCCCCGTCGTCGGTACCGGTAACCAGGATGTCGTCCAAGTACACCGCCACGTGCCTCATGCCCCTGAAGAGGTTGTCCATCTCTCGATCTGGAAGATGGCTGGGGCTGAGGCCACGCCGAACGGTAGGCGCGTGTACTGGAAGAGTCCCATGGTAGTCGAAATGTTGACATACTTCCGGGCGGCATCCTGGAGCACCAGCTGCTGGTAGGCGTCTCGAAGGTCGAGCTTGGAGAACTTCTGTCCCCCGGACAGAGCCGACCAGAGATCTTCTACCCGAGGCAGCGGGTACTTTTCGACGGTAGCGACGGGGTTGATGGTGACCTTGAAGTCCCCGCAGATCCTGACGCGGCCGTCTCGCTTGAGGACTGGAACTATCGGTGCGGCCCACTCGGAAGACTTGACGGGCACCAGGATTCCCTCTCGCTGCAGCCGTTGCAGCTCCTGGGTGACCCCGTCCTTCAGGGCAAACGGCAGCGGGCGCGGCTTGAAGAACCGAGGCCGGGTTCCCTCGGGTATGTGGATGCCGACTGTCGTGCCGGCGAAGGTGCCCGCCCCTGGCTGGAACAGGGACTGGAAGTCTGTCAGGAGGCTCGGGACGTCCTTCACCACGTGCAGCGCAGCTTCTTGGTACTCCGGAAGCCGAACACCCAGCGAGTGAATCCAGTTCCGGCCCAGCAGCGTCGGCGACGACCCCTTGGTTAAATAGAGGGGAAGGATTGCCTCCCTGTCGCCAAGGCGAACGCTGACTTGGGCCCGACCCTGGACCTGGGAAAGCTGCCCGGAGTAGCTGCGCAGCATGACGTCAGACGCCTCGATGGACACGCCGGGGAAGGTCCGCTTGAACAGCTTCCCGGGCATGATTGACACGCTGGCCCCTGTGTCCAGCTCCATGGTGATGGGGTGGCCGCAGATTTCGACGGACACCAAGTAAGGTGGCACGGACGATGGAGGCTTACTCGTCTGCTACATGTCGAAAATCTGCGGGTCCTCGGCCACGACGTGGACCCTGGCTGAAGACGGACCCGGGCCTGGTGCCGCTCGTCCCTGCCGCGTTTTCTTGCGACGGCCACCCTGGCCGCGGGCTTGGCTGGAACCCGGGCTTGAACCAGGCTGCTGCTGCTGCTGCTGGCCGCCGCTCGTCCTCCCCCCTCGGCAGACACGTGCGAGGTGCCCAGTTCTCCCGCACGTGAAGCATTGTGCTTGGACGAACTGGCACTGTGAGGGGGAGTGGGCAGCACCGCAGTGTGGGCAGCACCGCAGCAGTGGGCAGCATCCCATCCTCGTCGCCAGTGTCACGATCTTTCTCTAACGTGGACGAAGGGGCCGAAGCACCCGCCGAGGAGAGACGACACGCAGCCTGGTTGTGAGGGTGGATGATGACTGGCCGGAGCAAGTGCGCTCAACGGCGTTTATTCGTGCGGTGAACAATGTTGCCCGCCGAGCCTGGCGGCCACAGACGGGCGGACCGGAGGGGGGCGCTACATACTTGTCACACTTCATAGATGGGATCTTCGCGCGAAGACGTTATCTCTGTCCTGTAAACCGCTGGAGTCATGCTGCCGATCACGGTGATTGGCTTCGCGGAAAAGCGAACCCTCAGGTTTTTTTCATGAACAGTGTGGCTATTGCACGAGTAAATGCAGTATCACGTTCTACAAAAAAAAATGGCATTAATTTTCGTAATTTAATGACAAGCCTTTTTTTGTATTTTTATTAAGAATTTTAGTTTTATTACAGCCCTTAGAACCTGTGTGAAACATCAATTTGTATGCTTAAGAATATTATAACATTATTTTAGTGGAGTATACTCTGGTTTACACTTTATTTCATACCTAAAATAACCATTCACAGCAGTCCATACTGTCCCTCATCGATCAGCATTGTGTCGCCATGCCTAGTGCTTCTATGTGCAAATAAACAGCTAGTTCTGTTTGAGGAAATCATACCTGCCATTGAACAGAAGTGTGAAGGCAAAGCATGCACATTTTTTAGTTCGATAGGTCAACACACAAATCTTAATGCTTAATATTCACAGTGGTTTAAATAAAAATGAGGTGTGTGCTTGAGCTCCAAGAGGACTTTTTGCTGCTCTATAATGGAAGTTTGGCTGCTCCAAAAGGTGCTACAAAGTGACTTTAGGTCAATTGCATCACTGCTAGCAGCAATGGTACTTACTGCATTATAGGGTGACCACCCGTCCCGCGACTCGCGGGACTGTCCCGCATTGAGGGCTCATGTCCCGCGTCCCACAAGAAATTCCCAATTCTTCAAAATGTCCCGCATTTCATTCTGTAGTAAAATTCACTCTGCAACTCATGGCGCTGCCGAACAACGGGGCACGGGGAAGCGTGGAGGTCGCTGGTAATTGTGTGAATCGGAACTGTACGCCATTTTCTATCAAACCATTGCGGGAAGCGACCGTCGTCCTTGCAAAAGAACCAACGCGCATGCTCCGTTGTGCCTCTCCCCTTGGTGGCAAAATATTCTAAGAAAAATTGCTTGCCAAAGTTTCAACATAAAATATTGTAATTATTTTGATATCGTTCTGTCAGTGCGACAGGGTTGTTGTGGATCTTTGTTTTAGTGAACACAGCCACACAAGGCAGAAACCCTGCAAATCGCAATGGTCGAAAAAGAACATAATGTTAAAAATTTTTGTACGACAATGCTGATAAAAGTAGGCGTTGAAGGAAACAATACCCCGAAAGAGATTTACTATTTCTTATTTCCATTTGAAAAATTGATTTCTGCTACAGTCGATTTGTATGTTTTCAACTTCGACACATTTTATAACACATTTGGCATAAAAAATACTTCACTCGTAGCAAGACTTAATTAAGCTTAATTGCTGCAATACGATTAGCAGGTGTATAAACAGCAGAGGATAATAAATGTGCTAACAGAACCTCGGTTCGTCGTGTGTGTGTTAATAAATCCCCCCCCCCCAACTTCCAGTGCCCCGCATTTCGCTAGCAGAAAGGTGGTCACCCTACTGCATTATGTAGGAAAAGTTAGACTTGCTTGATGGCTGGCAATTTTTTTGCACGAAGCACGTTGTTGCATAATGTCTATGGTGAGGAAATTAAGTTTGCTAGATCGACTAGTGGTTATAGAGCTGATGTACAGTCTTCGTGCTTGATGGCACATGATCTGCTTGGTACTCAGGAACAAACTATGTAACCACTCCATCTGGAAAGAAGGAGGTAGCAAAAGGCACAGGTGTCAACTGCTTGTGCTTCAGGTTGCGGATTTCTTTCAAAAGTAAAAACGGAGGGGAGGGAAGGGGGGGAGTTTACTGTTGACTAAAAATGAAGGTTAGTTCTTCACAATAATGTTGGTGCTCTCATGGGTATTTGAGAGGATATAAAAAATAAGTAAGGTAATTTAATTTCACAGAATGGGGTTTTAGTTTTATTGTATTTGCTTGTGCTGAACGTACAAAGACATTGGACATCAATCGTAGCATGACAAAAAAGGGGCAGCAGAGATGCTGTTAATGTCTGATTTAAAGCCAGTGTTTTAGTGTCTCTAAAGAAGCTGTTCATGAATCAAATTGCAGTTCATATTTTAATGATTCTCCTTGGGATTTCATTTATCGTAGATACCAATCCCTTCCACAAAACTCATATACCTTAAAAAATATATATATTTAGCATCAAATGCTTGCATTAAGCAAGTAAAATCCTGTTTGGTTTCCTTACAGTGCCTAAGGAGATCCTGAAAGATTTGGACATTGGAGGTAGTGATGCCAACAAGGACAAGCTCGAGGAAGATGAGGAGGGCTACGTGGAAGAGGCCCGCTACCAGCCATCCACCTTCAGCCCCCTCGGTGTGATGCATCCTTCTGTTAAACCACTTCCAGGTTGGTTGGAGACTGCTAAGGTTGTTTGGTACACAAATGCTTACAAGAAGGCACAAAGCCTACCTTTTAGTATTAGGTGAGATGGCTGGCCACTGTTTAAGTAGAGTAGGAAAATATAAAGGTGTGAAGTAGCATTTTTCAGCCACTGTACTATGTGTTAGTATCGTGCAATCTGTTAACTGAGAAATAGAAAGATGGGAAACATTCTTTGATGACTCAGCATGGGCTCTCTACTCGGTCGGTAATATGTTTTTATATAAAGTAATGGCTTTTTATTTAGACTCGATTTTATTTAGGAACACAAGCTATCTCTTAAGAAGTAAGAATTGAACTTTGTAAAATTTGGAATATATTTTTCAAATGGTAGAATCACCATAGATGTGAAGTGGACATCTTTTGAAATTGTCTTTCTACGAAAAACAACATAGAATCTCCAATTAGCCCTACCAAAAAAAACCCAGTATAACTTTTCACTATCTGGATTATGGAACTGGAAATCTGATTCTGGAAACCCAAAATCCAGATTGCAGACAAAAGAATAATTTCTGAAACCTGAAATCCAGATAAAATCATAGATTTCCATTTCCATAATCCAGATATCAAAAAGATATACTGGATTTATCAGCATGCTGGTCTGCAATTTTTTTTTAATAAAGTTTGTTCAATACCATCAGAATGTGGAGCGCAAGTTCATCTGCTTCTTTTGCAGGGGTTGTGGAGACGTCAGAACGCCAAGCTCTGATTGGCCCTGATCGAAGGATAGTGGGTAGACCTCAAAGTTAGCTGCCTCGAGGTCTACCCACTATCCTTCAGTCAGAGCCAATCAGGACTCGGCATTCTGACGTCACCACAACCCCTGCAAAAGAGGCAGACGAACTTCCGCTCAGCATACCTTTTTTGCTTTGTCTCAAGTGCTAACCTGTGAAGTGTGAACATGGTTGAGGCTCATATTCTTTTCCTGTCCCTAGGCAAGCTGGTGATGACTAAATATTAGGTGACAGACTTTTCGGTTCTGACCGAAAGACACCGATAAACTTCTGTTTGTAGAAAATACAAAATCAATTTAAACCAAAAAACACTCACTTCCAGAAATTTTTGGTCGAAGCAAGGCCCGATTTTCGTCAAATCTCTTCCTTTTCAGTCATTCGTTGGGCACATATTCGGTCCTAGAATTAAGAACCCTGCCAGTACCAAATCAGTGGAATCATTGACCTAGGGAGACAGTGGCATGAAAGTTAGATAATTTAGTCAGTAGCCATCGATTGTGGCAATGTCTTTTTTCTATTAAGGTCAGAGCTGGACTACGGTGTTTAACATTACAATGACAGTTGTTATCAGTTGAATCTTGTGGAAGAAGCAGCAACTTGCCTTTCTCTAGAAACATTTTGCTTGAAAACAATTCAGTTCTGTGCCATTATACAGAGTAGAAGGGTGGAGGACACAAGGAAAGCTAAGAGCTTCATATGATTATGTTAAAGAGCACTTCTACTTTGGCCTGTGTTTGGGCTCATCCGTGGCTTTCAACGACTCTCGTATTATGATATGCACAAAGCATTATAAGCCTGCATGCAAATTATAAATTAAACTCTTTGTTTATTTCTCTCTTTTAGAAATTTGATTTTTGCAGTTGTCCCAAACCTCAGGGATAAATTTTAGGAGGGTCACACCGCATAAATGTGGTTACTCTCGGGTGAATGTGAGGCAGTCAGGTTTCATGCAGGGGACGTTAAAGATGCCTGTTGAAGTTGTTTTTTTATAATTTTGTGTTGTATGAGCTATGCAGAGTGCAAGTTAGTCTGCTTCTTGGCAGCGGTTGTTGTAATTCAGAACACCGGGGTCTGATTGGCTCCAACTGAAGGATAGTTGGTAGACCTCAAGGCAGCTATAGTATTGATGTGTACCCACTATCTTTCCCATCAGAGCCAATCAGAGCTCAACACGTTCTGATGTCACTACAAGAAGCAGACAAACTTGCGCTCCGCATGCCTGAAAGGTGAGGTCTAATAATTAGTTAGTGATGTAGTGCAAGCAGTAGAGCAACAGATAGATTTACTTGTTTTGCCTTCTTACTGGCATGGCATCCAGGGCCAGAGGTCAAAAACTGAGTGGGACACTATTTGGTAGTTCTCGTTGTGATAATTGCATTTGTGCTTCTGTTAACAGCGGTTAGGCTGGTGAGCTGATGTGCCTCTTTGGCATGGCCAATGGAGTCTTCCACAGTATTCTTCAGCTGGTCATATGATGGCTGTAAGGTTATATGGTAGTAGTATTTCAGGTAGTATCAGGGGCAGACCCAGGTATTTCTGAGGGGGGGGGGATCAGCATATCATATTTGAAACTCCCCCCCCCCCCCCCCCCATCCCCCCGTTTCCCGGCCCTAAATGTTTACACATGCATGGTTCGGACATGCGGACCTGCCCTCTTCCCCCCCCCCCCCCTTCTTTTCTGAATCTGCCACTGGGTAGCGTTGTCTGGAAGTGATTGGGAAGAAGAAATTAAATGTAAACAGGTGTGTTCTCGAGAACGGTATTGTTTGTGTGCGTGGCACGGGGAAGAATGGTATCACAGTGCTTATGATCCAACTGGACATACTATATAGATATCATGTCAGCTATAATTCAATCAAAATAATTCTACCTAACCCTTCATTTGAGTATGGCAAGCTGTGGTCGGTCAATGTGCTGTTCTGCAGAGCCGTAATAGCTGTAAAACAACTTCAGAAAGGAAGGCTGCTCTGGTTGCTGATGAGGTGTTCAGGAGGTCCATGCTGCAAAGAAATACTTGATTTAAAAGGAAAGGGCAATGTGTTCTGTATTGGTGTAAGAAAAGAGGTGTAAGAAATGCAACAGGTGATCCGATGCAACAATGATGCAATGGTTCTTTTAGTGCATTAAAGGAGGTGGACCAAGAAGATCAATTTCCACATTAGATAATAGGAAAGGTCAAAATTACATATAATGATAGTCAGCATGGTTGTTTCTCCTTTCTGATGTTGGTCCTGGATATATTTCAGAAATTGGCAGTACCTTTCCTGTTTAGTAAAAGGTGTTCTAACAATACATGTATGTTTTCAAAACCCCATTTGTCCAGGTACTTCGTTATCATACAGAGAACACATAATGTCTGCATGAAGTTTTAAACATTGAACATCAGCACCACATTGTGCAGATTATAATTATCATGATATAATGGTTGTTTTATCAAAGTGTAAATATTAGGGAGTCATTTTTCTATGTGTGGGACACACTTCTGTAGTCATATTGAAAGACTTGGTCTAAGCACCTGTCCTTTGGCTGTTCTACAAAGAAATAGGGACTTGAAGAGGTCAGACTTGTAGGTATTATACAGTTGGTCACATCATATATTTTGCCATATATCTAAAATATTAATATATCATATTGGTGAATTGTTCTGAACAATTGTCCTAGATGTTTTAGGCTATAAAATGAGCATAACTTAATATTGTTATTACTAATTGAATCAAATCACTGTTCAGATATGTATGATCAAATTTATCATATCTCTGTCCAAATTATCTTAACACATACCTTTTTCTCGAGTTGCATATTTACATTTCTACTTACACAAAGCAAGACTTGCATAGACTATGTCATGCCCTTTGCTTGTATGCTACTGTATCAGTACAGTCCGAAGGCTGTAGCCACTAGAATCTGCATATACCTGCTCTACAAATGGGCCTTTCGAGTGGGTCAGAATAGGTTTTATTCTTAGCCTTGCCTTAGAAGCACAACTTGCAGTTGGCATTGAGACCTACTGAAAGTTATATCTTTTTCAGCATAAATCTTCGTAGATGTAAGCACAGTCCGAGAAAAAGTAAATATTGCAAAGTATGAAGCAAGCAGCCACGCAAACTTTGCAAATAATTGCCACAAAACAAGGATGGGTTCCTGCTAGGTTCAAGATGGGTAAATCCAGAAGAGCACATAGTAGTGCAGGCTCTTGTTTGTTGGGACAAAATGGTATGTGCCGATAAACTGAGGGAGAGGAGGAGACGAAAGCGCACAGGGACGTCAGAATGCCGAGCTCTGGTTAGAATGCAGAACGCCGGCATCCAGAATTTGGCTTTTGAATTTGAGCGTGTTCGAAGAGTGTAGGGGAGACAAAGGCAGTCTTTCTCTCCACTTCACTCGTCGAACACATTAGAACGCAGGCCGCGGGCATCGGCGTTTGGTTCTCGCATTCGAACATAAGTGCAGTGGAGACAAAGGCTAGCCTTAGATCCACCCATTAATGATTCGGACCACAGCTTGGTGTTCTGACATCCTTGCATGCTTTTGTCTCCTCCTTTTCCTCAGCTTCTCGGCGTATAGGAGCAGTTCAGGGGTTTGACAAAATCCCTAAGTTTTAAGGCAGTTCTGCAGCTCTTGTCAACCCTGCTTTGCACCTGCGCTATCGTAAAAGAAAGCTTCACTGCTGTGCACCAATGCACCTGTGTAAAGCTTCAACCCGCTTTACACTGGCTTCTTAGAGAAGCAGCTGATGCAAAGGAGCACCTCATTCAGCTCAGTGGGCTCAGAAGTTTGTTGCTTGATATGTCCTTTGCCTATATCTTGGAACGTTTTATTATTCACTTATTGCAACATGGCTGCATGCTTGGTATTTTACGGATGCTTTTTAATTTGTTGGGGGAGTAAAATTCTAAATGGCAGTAAGTTGTTTCAGGATCAGGGGGTATGTTGTCACAGCTAACTAGGTGAAAAAAAATCTTAGTACCCATCTTTCCAAATTCACACTTCCTGGCATCCAAAGACCAGCATTATGAAAAAGTTTAAATAAAGCCATCAGGTGAGGTATTGGCTGATAGTAAGTGAAAACACAATGGTAACATCATCTATGAAACATGAACTAATTGTCCAGCATGAATGTCATGAATGAGTTCACTTTTTCTGTCCATGCCAATACTGATGCCACCGACACTGATCAAAATTAATTTTTTTTTGTAGGCATTTCTTTGTCCTAAAAAAAAATATTTACTGCTCTTATCACTAGAGTTTATGCCCTGTCAGCGAAAAGAGCCACCTCCAGCTGCATGCATCACTGTAAATGCATATTGATGTCACAATAATGTAATAATCTTATGGGATAAAAGAATAATTCGGTTCATTACTTGCTGTTCCATGGTTCCTCTAAGAGTGGCCACTCCCATATTAAAGCTACGGTAATCAGGATTTATAATGTAATACAGTCGTGCAATTTAATTGTTTTAGGAGCTCCGATGGACCGCAACCTGATCCCATCGTCTACAAAGAAGACTGACATTCACGGTGATGAGAATTCTGATGATGACAAGCACATCAATTGCACCATTAACGGGAAAGGTCATCGTGCTGTGGGCTTTCTCACCGAGTGGGTTGCGGCCTACAAGTTCATCAAAGGTTTGTCTTCTGGAAAATGTCTTCTGCCTTCCCTCATGCTTTTCTGCCCACATCCTTTCTGCTTTTTTCTGCCTTTAGCTCTAGGCTGCTAGGCAGGTGTGATGAGCTCTTCTTATCAATCAAACTGCTCCTTCGGATAGTGAAACATATGTTTATTCCTTGATAAGCAATATGCAAGAAAGGCTAACTGAATTATCAGAATTATAGTCTTTACTTGCTGACAATCATTTTAATTTGAGTCATGTACTTTGGGGAAACCTATAAACTGTCTTTCAGTCCCAAGTAGGGTCGAAGGGCCATCCAGGATATGACAACCACCAATGGCAGTCGTGCTAAGTTCCCCTGATGCCTGCATCGTGTGCAAACATGCAAACGAAAAGAAAGCCATACCACCGTCTACCAATGTTTATTAACATAAAACATTCTAGCAACACTGGCACCATTGAATGGAGGGGAAGCCTTCCTCACCAATGTTCAGGGAATGAGCGTCTTGTGTGGCTGTTGCAGGACCACCTCCATCTGAGGCCATACTTATAAAGTTTTTTCATGAAGTGCTAATGGCCGTTAACATCATCTCTTTCTGTTCAGAAAACAAAAACAAAGAGATAGCCAGCCCGAAGGGGCGTTTGGAAAACAATTTTTGAGGGATGCAACACAGGGCTAAATGACCTTGGAAGTTTCTTTTTCACATTGTGGTGTCTTCCATAGACCTTTCTAATTTACCCTTGACCCCAGCTGCATAGTTCAGACATCTGGTAGGAGCAGCGAAAAATTATGTGGAACAAGCAAAAACTGTGGGAGAGGCAAAACAAAATGAATTCACATAAAAACTTGACACTTTCCAGTTGCATGGCAAGAGCAAATCATGTTTTCCCAAATATTTGAAGTTCTTGACCTTGGAAGCACATCAAGATGGCAACGCTCGTATAGAATAGTTCTATAGCTGTGGGACACGAGAATGTTATGCGATGTCAGTTCTGACAACGCTTGCAATGCATACTTTTTTTTCAATTAATGCTACTGACATGCCATGACAACAGTCACCACAAAAATGACTGTAGAAATATGCTGGGGTCCATCCAATGTTTTGCTTTTAATTATTAAAAGTACAGCCAGCTGGTTTCTGTGAGTGCAAAGTGCTATGACAATTAGAACTCAAAAGTAGAAAACTTTAATTGTGAGCTCTATGGCAGGGCGTTGGCCTAGAGTGGGTTCGGAGCGACGAGGAAAGACAAGTCAATAAAGACATGAACTTGAACTTTATTAACTGGTACTGAAATAAATGAGGTGTAAATGCTACATGGCAAAGAGCACCAAAAAGAACAATGGCTCGATCTGTGTCCCTCCTGTTAGTCAGACTTTACTTCGGCGAAATAAGAAGTGGTAATGCCTAGGTGTCACTGGGTGAAGCAGATGCAACATTGGAGAGAGGAGGAGGTTTTCCCCCCTCTCTTCTCCAGCTTTCATTCTGCTTCCTTCTCTCTGGCCTTCCTTTTCCTTGCCCTAACTTCTTGAGTTGCAACGGACTATAGCAAGAAGGCAGCTTACAGAATAGGCAATGTACCTAGGTTTCTTGCTACGGTAAAACCTTGTTAATTCAACCCCCGCTAATTCGGAAATTCGGATAATTTGAACTGCCGATCCGGTCCCGTCAAACGTGTGTATTAGTCAATGGAAGCAAACGCTCATTCATTCGGAGGAAACGCAGCGCAGTATGGTTAATTCGGACGAATTCGGCAGGTGGCGCTAGCTACCGTCAGTTCCAAAGGGTATGACCGCTATCCATCTGAGGTGCACACGTGGTTTTTCCGGTTTTCCCATGGTTCTTCACTCTTCCGGTTCTCTGTGTTTCGCACCAGTTTGGCTCTGGATTGCCGTGCTTCAGCGCGTTACTCTCCTGGCATGGAAGCGGCACAAACATAGCTGCAACGAAAAAAGGGTAGCACAAATGACCGACAACCGGAATGGCAAAATCGCGACAAGCGGGCTATTGCTCCCGAGCGTGCCGATAACGAGAGTGACAGTCACGTTTCATGCCTCAACGCGGGGATCCTAAAGCCCGCCATTTTAACAGCTATCTTTTCCCTCAATTTTTCGCCGGCCGCCCCCGCATTGAAAAATGCAACGTGACTGGCACTCTCGCTATCGGCGCGCTCAGGAAAAATAGCGCCGGGTGTCGCGATTTCGCCGCTCCGATTATTGGTCAGTTGTGCTACTCTTTTTTCGTCGCAGCTGTACTAGGCTGAGAATTTAGCGACGAAAGGGGAAATACTGAGGGCCTTGAAGGACGGTGTCTCTCGACAAGTGACGGAAAGTTACGCCGTCAAGAGAAGCAGTTTGGCCACGTACGTGAAAATTGAGGCCGATATCCTAAGGGCTTTTGAGAGCGAGAAGTTCAACGCGAAAAGAAAGCGGCCTTGGAAGGTGGTGCACCCGAAACTAGAAGAGGCCTTGTTGTACTACATTGTCAGCGCACGGGATGCGTAGTTCCGACAGTGCGAGTGCGGTGGAGCACTCGACCGCGCTAAGGAAAGTTGCCGTCTCCGCCCAATTGTCGTCCAGAAAGCAGGCGGCAATAACAGATTTCTTCTCAAAATAAACGTATGTCACAGGGAAACATTTTCGCGCTGTTTTCTTTGTCCTTTTGATATTTCGACTTTCAGATAATTCGGACATTTTTGCCGGTCCCATGAGATCCAAATTAACGAGGTTTTACTGTACCTTCAAAAACATAACCACCTTCTACACCATTTCTGTTGTCTTATTACACCATGTTGTGCGTAACATATATTTTGGGCGCATTTCATATTGTGGTGTGGCATTTCCAGTAACGTTAAAACATTTTAAAATTACAGTCTAAGCTCGTTAACAGACCTTGATTTTGACCAAGATTTTGGTTTGTTGTTAGAATAGTATGTTGTATGCAGATATGAAGTTGAGTCAATTGTATGTAAAGGAAAACCAACCGAACTTCACAAATCGGTATGTTATATCCAAATATCTGTTGTAACCAGGTCGGTTGTAATGTAATGAGCTTAGAGTGTATTTGGTGTTTGTTGACACGTTAGTTTGCATCTAAAATTTTCAGCAGATACGAATTGCATAGAAGAAAATTGATTTTCAAATTAGTAGTATTGTGAAAGGAAGAGGAGCTTAGTTAGCTCAGACAATGAACAGAAATAATTTCAAGAGGACGTAAGATGTTAGTTTACCTAGCATATGGTAGAGTTGCATCGAAGTGAGACAGTTTAGGTTTGGTAGTGCTGGCTTCCTCCAATGTTTCGAAGAGAGCCTCCTGGATAGAGGAAATGGTTTACAACTTGTAATTTGAAATTTATTAATACAAGCTTTCTCTCAATATTGTGAAGAAAATTTAAAGGTTTTGCATTTTGTACATTATTTATGTCTGCAATGCCTTTGCCCAAGTGAGCTGTTGCCATGCTGGCATTGCATGTGGGCGTCAGCAGATCTTTAGGGGTTCAACAAAGTATCCTTAAAGGGGCACTGACACATCAAAATCATATTTTTTTTTATTATCCGAAACGATTAAAAACGATGCCGGGACATTACCCTCAAAATTTCACACTTGGGAATTCAGTATTTCTGAATTAAAAAAACAATTTCCAAATGCCGAATTCGAAGTTCCCGCGTGATCCGCGCCGGTGCAGCGAGTCAAATTTTGTGGTGTCCTGCGACTCGATTTTCTTTGGGACCTCCGCCGTTGCCCCAGCAACCCGAAGCGAGGAGGGGGTGAGCAGGCAAGATAGGAGCAGGCGCGTGAAAAAAGCGGTTTGCCTCTGCTGGAGCGCCGCCAAGTTTTCCGAAGGAGGATACAATTCCAGGAAGCAACATCACACCGATATCTGATTTTTGGTATTTCAAAAAGAGGGGCCGTAGTGCGTTCGCAATTGCGTTAAAAAACATGTTTTACGATTGCCGTTATTAAATGTTATAGAAATGTCGCCTACAAAGCTTCTAAATTTCCTGATTTTTGACGTTACCGATCAAAAGAAGCAAGGAAATATAAACGCCAAAAATAAAAAGGCGCGTGCGCGCGCAAGGGAATTTTTTTTCGCGTTGCGGTTTTTTTTGCGTGTCTATGACTATAACTTGCATCGTTTCAGACAATAAAAAATAATACGACCTTTGGGGTGTCAGTGCCCCTTTAAGGCCTACATAACTGTCGCTCATCTGTTCATATAAGTAATAAAATGTTCTTCATATATAAATAAAGCATTGCACTTTTGTGCGACGTTTCTTCTGTATGTGGCGGTAAAGCAGGTCTATATTAATCTAGCAAATAATATTTATTTTATTATAGATGAAAATTTTTTATAATATTGTCTTAAGTTAGGTGCTTACTGTACATACATTTTTCTGGGCTAAATTTCCAAGCCCATTGAGCTGACAGAAGTGTTCCAGCTTTCCCGAACACCCATGTGCACAGCGGTGAAGCTTGACACGAGTGGCGCTGCATTGGTATCATGGCAGGGAGACAGATGGTTGACTTCTCTTGAAGTTCTTTACTTTCAAATGCAACAGCATTTATGGGAAAACCTTACCCACTTTCATGTCCATCCCTCTGTTTGTAACCAACTTAACAAATGTGCATGCATGGCAGAGTGACAAGAGGATAAATTGAGAAGAAATTCCAAAATGTTGAAAATCCCTTGAGGAGAATTGAACCAATGGCCCCGAGTTTGTGAGCCCTACACGGAACCACTACACCAAAGGGAAGACCGATGAAGTTGGTAGTCATTAAATGCCATAACATTCCTTTTGCCAATTGACACCGTGGAACGTGCATGTATTGAGAGTGGGCAGCATCCACTTTTATGTTTATGTATACATATAGTAAGAAATTAATAAATTGATTGATTGAATTAAAATATTGTTATTGTTCGAATGAGGAAAATTGCAACCCTCTGCTCTGCTCTTTGCATCCTCTGCTAGAGAAGTGGGTGCGGGTCATGGGGGAGTAATTTTTTAGAGTGGGCGGA